CCTCGGTGTTGCTCCCGCGCCTCGCTCAGCCAGTGAGCGGGAACCGGTCTGTATGTGGGATCCGAACCCTCAGGCGGGAGCGCCGCCACACTTCCCAAGCGGCGCACTATCCAGTGCGCCACCGGGCCGGCCCCTTAACATATATTTGATTTCTTCACTTTCTTTTTTCATCTAGCAAAGAAGCTTGAAGAGTGAAACTTTCCGTTACTTAAATAAAATGAATATAATAAATTGGAGTTAGACAATTCTGTTAACAAAAGGTAGTTGTGCAGTAGTCTCCAGCCCACACACTGGAAACACCCATTTCATATTATTTTAATAATGTATATATAAAGACCTTTTTTAAAAAAAGCAAAAAAGGGTTAGGATTTTTGTTGGTTTTAATGCATTTTTCTTAAGCTAATACAATGAGCTAATATAATGAGCTAATTCCCACTAATATAGCTATATATAACTATAATTACTCTTTCATAAAGAAGCTCAATACAAGTTGATTAGCTTTCAGTTTCCATCAACTTGAGATAAAACATGTAATCTTTCTGATTGCATAAGGCAATAATTTTCACTGTCATCCGCTCAACTCTGCACTAAGTGTATAAATACAATACACATATATTCTAGATATATACAAGTAAAAACCTTACACATATCAATTTTTATCTATTTAAGTTTACCACAAGTATATGGCCACTTAGATTTTTCAGAATTACTTTGCCATTAAACAGGATATGCTTCTCTTATGCAAAATAAGTGTTTCAACATAATATAAGTAAACACCAATAATGAAATACTTTACTTCAGGTAGAATAATAAATGAAAAAAATCACACCCTGCCTTTATTCTTTAAAAACTAAAGAAAAATCTGTTGTAGGGGGAGGCATGGTTACTGTAAAATTTTATACTTGAGCAATTTATTCTCTAAAGATAGGCTGTTACTTCCTACAAAAGAGAAAAAAGTTATTCTCTAATAAACAAATCTCTTTTAAAGCAATTTAAATGTGCCTTAAAATGATTCCAGGATAAATGCAAGTTGGAAATTATGAAGAGCCGCTAGGCAAGTCATTGTGGTTAACAAGAGAGGTTTTGGAAAAAGATCTAGGTTCAAATCTCCGACCATGCTACTTAAAGGAACTTGTGACCTTGAGTATGTTTTTTTTTTTTTTTTAACCCCCTTTAGCCTCAAAAATGGTCACTGCATTAAGTAAGAAAGAGCAAATAGAAGCATTATTAGCACTGAGCTTGGCACTTAGTAAGGGCTCAGTAAGGTAGCTATTATCATTATTACCAAGATAGTGGAGCTCATTTAATGACCTTGCAAAAGCTCCTATGGTCTTTTTGCTTTTAAAACCTACTCTTTCCTTGCATAGTAACGTAACTACTGGTACCTTTTTACTGTTCGCTTTTAGTGTAAATGACTCTACAGAACGAAGAAGAAAAAAAGGGGTAGGGAGTTAAAAACAGAATTTTACAGGTAGCAAGAAACTGGACTCAGGTAAAACTGTGTGTGATGCAGAATTTGTTAGAAGGCCGCCATCCTACCTTTCAATTATGCAGACTCGTTAGGGGTTAGGAAGATATTTCCTGGCACACGTTTTTAAAACGAAATCACTTCAGGCAAAAGAAAAGTCTTGTAGTCCTATGCAGGATGAGTTCTTAATTACTTGTTGAATGAATCAATAAACTGTACATTTCAAATAGAAACTGTAATTTCCCAGGAAACCGATTTATTGAACAAAATTTTTATTTTCCATTCCGATCTCGAGTCCCTTCCCTCACAGTTTAAGAGCTCCAGATTTAAACTTTTACCTTCATTTATTTCAAAAACCTTATGAAGTAGGAATTATTATCCCTAAATTGAAGGAATGAGCCTTAAAAGCAGTCAACTGCCTAAAGTCACATAGTTTGTAATGTACGAAGGGAACTAGGATTCGAACTCGCATTTCCAAGGGCTCCAAAGCCCAAGCTGTTTGTTCTACACTAAAGCTTGTGCCACTACTTGTCTACCTAAACCGTTCACTTGTCCCCCTATACTGTCCGACAGACTGCCCAAAGAACAGGAAATCTGTTTTACTGCGTACGTCGGAGGTCTGGCGCCACCACCACAAGCGACCCACACAGGCTAGCGTCCAGAGAGGCTTGCAGACCGCGCCCAGGTCTCAAGTTTTAGTCAAGGCCTAAGTCCAGACCAAGAGAGGTGAGAAGAGAGGACTGACTACCCTTTCCAGACACCTTCGCCACGGCGAAAACACAGAGAAGATTAGAATTGCAGTAAGAAGGCAAACAATAACCTCGAAAGCCCTTCTCAAGCCAGCTAAACGCACTTACTTGAGTGAAGTAATTCCAGGACTCTACGCCAGCACCGGCAACAGAAAGGGCTCCTCCGTCCTCAGCCCCAGGCGCTGCTAGTGATGACATCTGGGCCGCGCCGCACGGAGCGAAGGCCCAGCGCGAGGCCACGAGCCCAGCGCACGGCGCGCGCTCGCGAAAGGGGCGGGGCGGCCCAGCGGCGCCATCTTTAAACGTCACGGGCGGGGCTGCAGCTTCTAGACTAGGGGTTTTGACTATGTCGCGCCTGAAGGGAGTAGCCGGGAGGGATCCCCGGGCGGGTTTCAGAGCTGAGAGGAGAGACCAAGGTACCTCCGTACCCCAGGGGCTGATAAAGGCGGCGAGAAAGAGCGGCCAGTTAAATCTGTCGGGTAGGAACCTCACTGAAGGTAAGACCTAGAGGCACGACCAGATTGTGCGTACTGTCAGAAAGCCCTTGGCCCAGGCAGCCTCCCTTTCCTCTGGCCTGGCTGTGGCCCCATTTGCCTCAGGATCCCCGTGCTCTAATCCAGGCAAGTGTTACATTTCGACTCAGTTGGTCAGCCCAGTTCGTTTCCTTCTGGGCTCCAACAATCTCTAGTGAAGGCCTCCTGCTGGGAATGTGCCCACAGTTTAAACGGGTCGCTTTTTTTGGGATTTCCATATTCTGTAGCACATAACACGTGACTAAATTAGGTGTCAGATGGTGGGCAAATATTTAGTTTCTTTGGGCCTCATTTTCTTCCTCTTAATTTGATTTCTAAGGGCATTTACCAACGCTAAAATTCTATAATATGTTATCAGCCCCTTTGTGAGCTTAGATTGAATGCCACTGTTTCCTTCCGAGACACTCCTGTATGCAACTGGGCAGAGTGCTAATCACAAGAAATAATGAGTATATTTTCTAAACTGAAGATCAGGATAGATGTGAGATCAGGATAGATGTGAGAAACCTGATAAAGACCAACAAGCACAAACTGGATATCACGAATGAATGAATGGCCAGATGCTCTTCTGATTATCTTTGTGTGTGTGTGTGTGTGTGTGTGTGTGTGTGTGTGTGTGTGTGAGAGAGAGAGAGAGAGAGAGAGAGAGAAAGAGAGAGAGAGAAATGGAGCAACGTAGCATTTTTCTTGTAGTGTTTTCCTCTACTTATATTCAAGTTTTTAGACTATCTGTGATTAAAACCTTCCGTTTTCCTTCTAATGAATGCTTTCTTATTGTGCCATGTATGAATAGATCACACAAATACTTGCTGAATGAAGGAAAGGATATATGGCACGAATTCTCTGGTTTATCTGGAATACTTTTTAATCAATGGGAACGTAAGCATTTTCAAACTACAGATGTGCATATTTGTACACTTGCCTTTCCCAAAGCCTGGAATATTTTCCTCAATACCTACATAGGACTCTCTTTTGCTTCCCTTAGGACTCTGCTCAGAGGTCATACCTCAGGGTGGCCCTTTCTAACTACTTGATCTAGGTACAAATGCTAACATTCTGTTCTCTTACCTGTTTAATTTTTTAATAACATTGATCACTGTCAGAATTTATATCATTTATTTGTTTATTGTCTTCTCTGCCCTCCAGCTATAGCGTTAATTCCATGAGGCCCAGGAGCTTTGTTTTGTTTACTGTTGTATCCCTAGCACTCAAAATAGTGCTTAATACATAGTAGACTCTTACTATGTACTATGTACAATATTTGTGGAAGGAATAAGTAAATGAATGAGTATTCTCAAATGTTAAGTGGAGAGCTGGAATGTATTTATTGATTGGACCTGGGTGGTTTAGTCTGTTAAACTTTTAGGGAGCAAGTGAATTTTGACTTTTAGGTCTGTGATGATATGGATCAGGACTGTGATCACAATATTTGGCACATCAAATGAGGTTATTATTGTGTAAACAGAGCCTAACACAATGTCTGGCACACCAAATGATGTTAAATGAGTGAATATACAGTATTTAATAGGAGGGGAAAGATACAAATGGGAGAGGCTGATAGTATTTGTAGCTTATATATCAAAAAGGAATGTCTATTATCATAATATAGGAGGTCTTTTCTTATCTGGCTGTAGCCTTCAGTTTTCATCTCTTGTCACATCTCTTTGATACTTAAACTACTATAATTCTGAACTGTTTGTAGTTCCATAAGGGGCTGTGCTCCTTATCTCCATATTTTTGCTTATGTAACATTGATATGCTTAAATGCTCTGTGCCTTAGTTTACCATTTATAATGTGGGAGTAATAATGGGACCTACTAGGGTTTAAATGAGATAATATAGGTTAAGTACCTGGTATATAAAAAAGTACACAGCAAAAATTGACCATTATTGTTAAGGCAGCCTGCTAGCTGGTTTCCTGGATTTGTTGTTTTAAATCTCACTCTCTAAATTTTAGGGTCATTAGCAAGCGTAATCTTTCCCAAATATGACACGCAAAACATTTAACAACTTCCCATAGCCTGCAAGATACACTATGGAAAAAGTTCTTAGCACAACATGCAAAAGACTTTCTAAATCTTGTCCTTAACTATCAGCTATATGGCCTTCCATCTCTCTGCAGCATCCTATACTTTAATAATAATGGCAATAACAAATAATTGCCTCTTCGCCAAACAACCACACTTTAAAGAATGTTTAGAACCATTTTTGGTTTACAGAAAATTGAGCAAATAGTACATTGCGTTTTCATATATTCCCTCTCCCTGCTTAGTTTCTTCTGTTATTAACGTCTTGTATTTATGTGGTGCTTTTGTTATAATTGATGAACCAATATCGATACTTTATTATTAACTAAAGTCCATAGTTTACATTAGGGTTCACTCTTAGTGTTGTACAGTTCTATAGGTTTTGACAAATGCATGTCAGTATCATACAGAATAGTTTCACTGCTCTAAAAATCCCCTGTGCTCTACCCATTCATGCCTTACACACCTTCCCCCCAAACCCTTGGCAACCACTGATCTTTTTACTGTTTCTGTAATTTTACCTTTTCCAGAATGTCTTTTTTGCCTTTTCCAGAATGTCTCATAATTCAAATTGTACCAGTATGTAACCTTTTCAGACTGGCTTTTTTTTAACTAAGCAAAATGCTTTTAAGTTTCCTCCATATCTTTTTGATGACTTGATAGCTCATTTTTTTAATCATTGAATATTTCATTGTATGAATGTGCCATTTTGTTATCCTTTTGAAGGACATCTTGGTTGCTTCCGGTTTTTGGCAATTATGAATAAAGTTCAAAAATGAGTCACAGTCATAAATTTTGCTATTAATTCTTTCAATGAGGTGTCATCACCTAGCTATATATATAAGATAGAATTCAAAACCAGAGAGATTTTTCTGGCTTACAAAAAGTAGAAAGATTCCACATTTGTTGGTAAAATGTAAACTTGGACTCCTATATACTACCGAGTACATTCCTAACGTTCACTGTGGTCTATGGTAAAATCCAATTTTGTTTGGTCTGAGCAGCCATAAGGTGACAAGACATAATGGTGTTCCACGTTGTCAGCTCTGCAGAAAACAACTGTGATGATAAATAAGTTTATATGAAACCACAAATACAGGCAATGGCATCCATATAAATGTGGAGCACTTTAGACCCGATATTGTAACTACATGGAAGGCAGATAACAATGTGAATGTGATTGCCATGGATGGCAGCAGGGACAGAACATTGAGTTAACAGTACTGTGATCATGTCATACTGTCCAAATGAATTGGCTATGGAAATAAACTTTTCAAATAAACAGTTAATCAGAACTTGTGGGATTGGCAAATTGGTGAGGAGATGGTGTGAGTGTCTGATCTGTAGAATATGGCCCAGTTTTCCACAAAAAAAGAGAAGGCAGATTACTAGAAATATGACATAAAAGATAACCTGCAACACTGGACAAGAGGTCAACCTCAGGAATCTAAATTCCTTTTCTCTGTCCTGATTTATTAGGAGCATTTCCACATGAATTGTTCTGTTTAAGGAAATAAAAGCATAATAATTATACATGAGTAAAGAATACACACTTAAGATTCCATCAGTGTGTTTTATATGTTTTATAGAAATATCCCATCCTCTTACAAAACTAATATTATATTACCTAATTTTTAAAGTTTTATTTCTATCTACCTTTATATGTATGTAACTATCTATCTATAAATACCTATCTATATGTTTGTTTTTTAGAGTGCACCAACTACTTGCTCTTAGAGCATTTTTCTGAGCTTGTGACATTTACAATATTATAGGGAACAGAGGCATTAATTATATCCAAAGAGTAATAAATGTAGTCAAAAAAAGGGAACATTATAAAAAAAAATAATAATAAAATAAAAAAAATAAAAAGACAAAAAGGAAAAGAAACTGGCCCGAGTGGAGCACTGGAGAGTGCGCCGCTTGGGAGTGCGGCAGCGCTCCCGCCGAGGGTTCGGATCCCATGTGGAGACCGGTTCCCGCTCACTGGCTGAGCGCGGTGCGGGCGCAACACTGAGGGTTGCGATCCCATTACCGGTCAGTAAAAACAAAAAGGAAAAAAAAAATATTTTAGAGGATTTTCTTCTAATAGTTTTCTGTGTGAATATGTATGAATAATTTGACTTCTCTTTTTTACTTTTAACAAATTTAGGATTATACTGAGTCCTGCTTTTCTGACTTTGTACAGTTTTCAATGTTATTCGAAGAAACATTATTTTTAGTCGTTGTATATTAGTTCATCTTATGACTACTGTAATTAATATATATTAATATTTAAACATTCAAATATTGTTGAGTTTTTAAAATCATCAGTCTGAGTGTCAGTTCTATAACTTATTTAGAAAGGTATTATTCCTAAACAGAAATAAAGGTTAATATCCACCTTTAAAGAAGAATATAGTAAATATTCTGGAAATTTTAAGTGACAGCTCTTTTTATGAGCAGCAATATGAGACTATATCATCAATTTAATTCAATATAAATATTGCAGCTCTTTTTCATTAGACCAGATAAAATGAAGATGAAGTTGTAAATAGGATATAAGGCTATCCTCCCTTATCTTGAAGAGAGCAATTTGGTTAGTTTTCATTTGTGGAATTAAGCACCTAGGTCTAGGGCTCCTAGGTTTCAGGAAAGCACTGTTTTAGGGTCATGAGAATTTGCCTTCCTAAGTACGTACAGTTTGTTAGGACAGAATAAAAAGTGTAACACAAACCACACATTTACCAAGGTTTTAAATATAAGGGTACTTCAAAAAGTTTATGGACAGATTTGTATTCCCTTTTAATTCTGTTTTCCATGAACTTTTTGAAATACCTCATAACCATCTTAGTCTATGTAAACCATGTTCTGCTTTACTATTTAGCTTGACTCTGTATTTTGACTACCGGTTATTTCATGGAACTCATTGTGTTATTCTAAATAGCTAATAAGAAT